TAAAACAAGCAGCAGAAATAGCGCCAGCCCAAAAATAAAGAGGTAAGGAAGCGAAACTTAGCATAGTTCGGGCAGCTTCACACAAAGATCGGTTTCGTCTTTCGACAATTCCGTTCTGTTGTGGTGTGTAGGGAGCTGAGAAGTTATGACTTATTCCCTTTTCTGCAAGAAATTCTTCAAACTCCCTGTTCTTGAATTCAAGACCATTGTCGCTTCTGATGTTGCGAACGACCTTCTTGAGCTGTACTTCAATCTGCTTGATGAACAATTTCAGCTTATGAGTGGCTTCAGATTTGAGCTTTAGAAAGAACACCCATGTAAATCGTGAAAAGTCATCAACAATAACAAGAATATACTTTCTACCACCGATGCTTTCGATAGATGAAGGACCACACAAATCGATATGAAGTAATTCGAGTGGTTCAACAACTTTTGTGTTAATTACAGATGGGTGACTTTGACGACTCTGCTTCCCCATTTCGCATGCAGCACACAAATGATCTCTATCGAACTTGAGTAATGGAAGACCCCTAACATGACCTCCAGTGACAAGTCGGTTGATATCTTTAAAGTTGAGATGAAAGAGTCTTTGGTGCCACAACCAGCTTTCGTCAGATTGAGCTTTTGATAACAGGCATATAGCTGGGTTTCCTTTGATGGGTTTAAGGTTTAAAGGAAACATTTCACCCTTTCGCTCCGACTTGAGAATTACTTTCTTTGTCTTTTTCTCAATAATTTCAGAACCTTCATCATCGAATGAGACTTTGAGACCTGTACCTCCAACAAGCTGAGATACACTGATGAGGTTGTGTTGGAGTCCTTCTACATAAGCCACCTTCCTTATAGTAAAGTCACCATTTGTTATCATCCCGTATCCCTTTATGGTGCCGAAAGAATTATTTCCAAACTTGACATTGCCACCATTTGTAAGAGATCTGTATTCCCTGAGCTCCTCTTTCCTCCCTGTCATGTGACGTGAGCAGCCACTATCGATGTACCATTCTTCGTCGAACTGCTCGTCACTTATAACCTGCAAAAATTAAGCAGATTTAGGAACCCAAAGTTTCTTGGGTCCACGTGAGCTTTTCATGGGAACAGGAACAGTAAGAGAGATGTCAACTAGATATGTTCGTTTTATCAGTGTTGTTTCATCTTTCTTTTTAATGGTAAAAACTTTTATCTTATTAGGATTGGGTGCGGTTGGTTTGGACTCTAGTTTGGATTCATTGACCTTCTGTTTGCCCTTTTGTTCAGCTGACGAATGAGATTTTTGAGAACGAACAAAATTAGCTTTAGAGCAAGATGGAGATGAATTGGTGGAAGTAGAAGAATTAGATGAACTAGAAGGAGTGGCTTTAGATTGAGAGGACTTTTTGGTTGGAGACTCTAGGTGACCCTTTTGCTTTTGATCATTGGAGGGACTGACCTTTGAGTTTTGATCTCTTCTTACTTCCGAACCGAACCTTTGCTTTCGGTTGGAATCATTCTCTGAACCGAACCTTTGCTTTCGGTTGGTATTTTCTTGTGAACCGAACCTTGGCTTTCGGTTGGTATTCTCTTGAGAACCGAACCTTGGCTTTCGGTTATTGTGACTCTCAGGTTTTCTGACAGGATTGTTTTCATACTTCAGATTCTTGTCTTGATGTGAGAAGTATGCATTCTGGGATTGCCAGAATTGTCTCCTTTCAGAGAGATTCTTCCTGTATCTTTGGTTCCTTTCTCGCTTCTTATTCCTCATCTGCTTTGGTTGATGATGAATATTTGCCTTCATTTTTGGTTTTTCCTTGGCTGATTCCTTTTGAATTGAAGGAGTTTCACTTTGAGCTGAGGGAGTAGAGGGAACGTCTTCTTTTGCCGAACTTTCATCCTCCTTAGGAATGTCTTTCGTACCACTGGTGCTTGGCTCATCGAAATTATCTGGCTTATTCAAGGGTTTAGGTATGTATCTTCCTTTACTCATCCAGGAGGTTCTTTCAGATAAGCCAACCGTTTCGTTTGCATTATCTATTGGTGCTGACCAGAAGTACTCATCGCAGCCATCAGCATTGTCTTCGTTTACAATAGCTGTGAGTTCAGCTGTCTGATGTTCGGTTACTCCAGTGACCTTGTATACTTGATTCGGAGTGGTCCTGACCTTTTGATACACAACTGCTTTCTCTGCTAAGATCGGGGACTTTTGTTGGGACAATCGAGCGAACTCCACTGAATTTTCAGAAATTAGATTCTTGTGGTTTTCAGGTTCGTTTTTTACAAATTCTGAGCAGTCAACTGTGTCCTCTACAGAAATTTCACTCATGTTGTCGTCCTCGTTAAGCTCAGATGCATTTTCAACATCAATTTTGTTTTCTAAGCTTACGTTGGCGTTCAAAGAGTCAAATTTTTGTATGGTTTTGGTTCTCAGTTTAAGTCTATCATTTTCATCCAAAAGGTTTTTAAGCATATCCTTGTGGTCCTTGGATTTAATGAAAGATTCAATTTTGTCCAGTCCATACATGTAGGTCGGATTGACATCATCAGATGATATCACACTCTCACAGTTATAAGCTTCGGCATCAATTTCATCCTCCTTAAACTCCAGGAAGGGCAAAATCATGCGATGGATCTTTTGGCCTATTTCACAGTCTAAGTGAAGTTGAGTAATATTAGAATATAGACGTTTTGCAATTAAACAAAAAACATTCCGCTGTTTTAACAACTTTAAATTGTCTCTTTGTAAATAAATGTTTTCGTCTTTTATTTTAACTAATTCAGACTCCTTCAACTCAATCCACATCCGCCGCTCCTCACTCTTCGACGCCGCCCTGCTTAATTGATCAGTTAGGTTAGAATTGGTGACTCGAGTTTGAGTTAAGCTACTATATAGATGAGAAATTCTTGTATTAACATTTTTTAGTTCTTTCTCATACGAGGATTGTGGTACTTTAAATGAAATGAAAACCGATTGTACCTTCTTTATCAGTTCATCAAGTTCATTGAACTGCTGGCTGAGTGGTTTGGCCGTAAAGCACATGTCCTCCTGCACCTTCGGTTCATTGCTTCCACTATCGGTGTTGTATCCCCTCATCTGAGATACATCAGACACCATGAAGCATCTTCCTCCACTGCTCTCTTCCTTTGCCACATAAGCCTTTCCATGAGTAGGCTTCCTCACTTCATCGTCTTCTGAGTCGGTAGACCAAATTTCCACTCTACCGAACTCGTCATCAGCAACCGAACCCTGCACAATAAGAGCATTCATAGAAGGGTTAGCGGTAGACTTCTTCTTTCTCATCTCATCCAGCCTTTTCTGCAGCACAGCTTCCTCATCCTTTTCATCATCCTTTTCAGCCATCTTCTTAAGGACACAATCTTTCGCATAATGGTTTTTCCCACCACAGTAGTAACAGCTTACTCCAGAATCACCATCCACCTTCGGTTCCTTCTTGGGCTCTTCAACCTTCGGTTCATTGTTAACTATTTATGAACTATAAATCCCCTGCCAGTTTCGGTTTTTATTGTTGGGGAATCTCTTCTTTATGAACCTCTTGGGGTTAGACACCATCATAGCGTAATCCTCAGACGTGAGGTCATACTCCTCCAAGTTAAGGTCTTCATCCTCCACCGCAGCTTTACTTTTTGACAGGAGGGCCAACGAACCAAGGCTTGAAACAACGTTTTTCTCCTGCAGTACAATCTTCTCCTGGGACTTGAGAATACCCACCAGTTTCGCCAAAGAATATGATTTAAACTGCTCATGGGCTTTGACTGTAGACACCACTGCTCTCCATTCAGACCTCAGACCATTTAAGAAAGTAACCTTCTGCTCGATAAGCTTCCTTTCAATGTCATGTTTGATCATCTTGCTGAGAAGATGATTGAATCGATCGAACGTCTGGGTCACCGTTTCTTCGGCTCCTTGCCTGAATTCTCCAAACTCAGATAAGAGCAAGGTTTGGATAGAATGTTCAAGATCCTCGTCTGTAGAATACAGTTCACGAAGTCTATCCCAAACTTCCTTTGCCGTCGTGCATGAGCTGACCAACCTAAAGGTGTCGGACTGAAGGGCAAATCTTATCAATCTTAACGCCTTGATATTGCACTGGAATTTATCCTTTTCATCTTGTGTAATATCTTTAACATCCTTCAGCAGATCATTGTACTCCTTTTGAGTTTTGATAATCATGGACGTTGCAGAATGAGAAAAAGGTCCATTAATGATAGCTTCCCATATGAGGTACCCATTATCCTCAGATCCTATCACGTAGTCTTCGAAGTGATGTGCCCAGACTTCATAGTCATGGGTATATAGGATTGGAATCTTTGTCGTCGAACCGATGTTGTTGGAAATATTAATAGGATTTGATTGCGACTCGTCCATTATGATCGAAAAACCTGTTCAAAGATCAGACTTGTAATAAAGTGGATTAGGGCAAAACAATAAATATCAAGATACGTCAATAATGAGATGACGGCTCAATAAATATCGGTAGTTGCGGAAAAACCCTAATTGAAACCTTTTCATAGAAAAGATGTGTATCGATTACACAGCCTCCTGCTCTGATACCAATTGATGAGATTAAAACGTTAATCTATAAAGATCGATTAGATCTTAAACAGGTAAATAATTATTAAAACTGTAAGAACATGAAAATAAGAACGAGACAAGAGTGAATCAAACGTGTCGAATGATTAAACAAAATCCTCAGAAGAGCTCGATTAAGAACATCAACTGTAGAGGATTGGTAGGTTACAAGAACGATTAAAGAAATCTGTAAATACTATCGTTATGCTCTAGATGAATCGCTAAAATCATTAACCTAATATGCATGCAAGCATATACTTATATAATAAACAAAATGGGCTCTCGGTTGGACAGGCCCAAACCGGAATATAAATAAAGTAAATAAATAACCGAGCCCAAATGACGCAATCTTCAAAATAATCTTCAGCCCAACAGGAATCATTTTGGCCAAGAAATCAAGTTTTTAAAAAATCAAATTTTGTTGATGTGCAGGAAGTTCATGTTGCCCGCACAAGGTTTTACTCTACAGTTCTTGCGGCCCGCGTGGGGTGCTATGCGTGGAAGAATGTCCCCCAAATCTGTTCAGTATATGTGGGTTGTACGTGGCCCACAGCTTGCCTGCGCAGATCTTCCAACATTTGGTGAATTTTTCGAGTTCAGCTAACGTGGCCTCCTTGCGGGTTCTATGCGGCCCACATAAGTCAATAAACAAGGATCAGAAGGTTCAGTGGGCTCGAGAGCAAACTAGACGTGGCCTATCTGCGGCCCGCGCCACACCTGCATATAACACATTCACCAGATTTTTAATGATTTGACTTCGGTTGACCTACTTTGACCTATCTTGAATATCTTGACCAAATGGATTAAATGGAATCCACTTTCCACTACCATAGATCGGTTCTTCTTCTTCTTCCCTAAGTCTCCTTCTCTCTCTCTCTCTCTCTCTCTCTCTCTCTCTCTCTCTCTCAAGAACACACAACTCCATTGAAGCCCACACCAAAACTTGATTTACTGGAGTTCTACTGGTCGGAATCCCACAAAACCACCGCCATTCTTCACCATTTTCTCCCCACTACAAAACCACCCAAAAATCGCTCCGATCCGTGGGCGGAATAGTGGGTGCCACCACCACACTCCGCTGCTTTCTTCCACGTTTTCTGGCCAACTTCGGCCACCTTTGGAACTTCTGAGCACGAAGTTTTGTTTCTCTTCCCAAGGGCTTTCCAACCATACCAATCTTCACTCAAAAGCTCACTACAATTTTTCGCCGGATTTTAAGTGCCGCCACTCTAGTCGCCGGAAAATATTTTTGAACCAAGTCTTGGGGGTCGTTTCAACAGTTCATATGTTAAATTCGAAGCAAACACATAATCTTGGGGTGTGATTTGGAGAATCCCGTTGGTGGTTTTCATTTTGCTTCCATAATCCGTCCCGGTTATGAACAAAATGGGTACACTCGTTCCTTTAACTTGATTATATGCATGTTGAATACCCGTTTGTTGTTGGAATTGTGTTGTCACTCGTGTGGTATTTAGTGTGATTTGAGAGCCATTATTGTGAAATTTTTGTCCCGAATCAAATGTCTAAGCGTGCAAAAGCATAAACCGGACCTACTTCATCTAAAGGCGGGTCAAAAGGCAAATCCAAGGACCCCCCCCCCATTTCGTTTGTTAAACCGTGAAAACCGCAAAACATATGAATTTCTCACTTCCAACAAACAACAAATCAAATCAACAAAAATCCTCCATAGAGAATCTTTTGAAGATCTCGGGGTGCTCGAAGGAGTTCAAGCACTATTTGACAACATTGGTTGGGGTCAATTCCTTCATAATCGTGTAGCCACCTACATTGAACCAACCTTAGAATTCCTTTCCACATTCAAACCTGATGATGAAGTGAAAACCGTAACTTTCCAAATGCTAGGTGAAAATCGTTCATTGCCATTTAGGGTTGTGAATGCTCTCATGGGCACCCCGGTGGACCATATGTATTCCTAACAGGATCCTTGGCCCGCAACCTTTAACGAGCACCACTTTTGGAAAAAAATTACCCACGAACCACAGTAGTCATCGTCTTCATCCAAGTCTTCCTCAATTATTCATCCATGTTTGCATCTAGCCCACGAAGTCCTTACATGTACCAATTTTGCCTGCTCCGAAGTGGGACAAATTTCTAAAGCTGAACTATTTTTTCTTTGGTGCATGACTTATGAAAATGGATCCCGACCTGATTTTGCATCATTCTTCTTCACCAAATGTTACAATCTCACCACCATGGACACCGAGGACATTTTTATTATAGACTTGATCACCCTCATTGCGTCTAGACCCCCACTTCTGCTATATTTTCCACCCTTCTATTTGAAAAGGCATATGGCCCTTCTCGTCTTGACATCAATGCACTCTGACGAATGCAAATCATCCGCGACTCGATCGATGGTCACATATGGAATCTTTATGATCAGCCATACCTCATTCTCCCTCATGATTATATCGAGTCCTTTGAACCAACCGACCCCAAGCAATGGCTAATTCCACTCTATTACCTTCCGCCTATAGATCATGTTGACCAACCTCCTATGCAGCAACCGATGTATCAGCATGGCTATTTTCTGCCTCCTCCAGAACATTTTGACCAGCCCTAATATCCGCCGCAACAGGATGAGGGACACGAGATCCCATCATGGATGTTCTCCACTATTCAACGCATCGACACTCAGACGCAGGAAAACAGTCGAGCCATTCAGGATGTGGTGACCCGCATTGATAGGCTGGAGAAGGCATTCCCATCCACTTCTCTTCAGGTCTAGGACATGTGGGACTACCATTACTGCCACTGACACTTTTCGCCGCCCGACCCTCCGATTTAGGTCATTTCCGCCCTTCCCTTAAGCATTGAGGACAATTCTTATTGAAAGCACCTTCGCATGTAAATCCCAGTCAATGTTCGCATTGCTGCTCTCACAGTCCAAGGGACTCTCAGCAAAAGGGTACTCCAAAACCCGTCTTCACAAAGAAACCAATGGAGAGACCAAAGCCTTATCACTCTCAATCCACGAAGGCTACACCCAAGGATATCAAAGGCAAGGGAAAACTAGTTTCAGAGCCGAAAGTTCCAACCAAGACAATGAATGATAACCCTAAGGAAGCTAAAAAGAAACCCGTTAAGAATCAAGCTAACACCAAGCACAAATCTTCTGATTCTGAAGAAACGAACTTAAAAGATTACAAAATCAAAGTTTTTACCATCAAACGAAAAGATAAAACCACACTCATTAAACAAACATATATGGTTAATCTTGACATTACTTTTCCTCTTTCTGTGAAAGGCTCACAAGGACCCAAGAAACTTTGGGTTCCTAAATCTGATTAACTTTTGCAGGTAATTTGTGATGAACAGTTCGACACTGAATGGTACATTGATAGTGGTTGTTCGCATCACATGACAGGAAGGAAGGAGGAGCTACGAGAGTTCATGGCTCTTAGAGATGGTGGTAATGTAAAATATGGGAATAATTCTTTTGGAAGCATAAAAGGCTATGGAATGATAACGATTGGATACTTCTCAATTTGCAAAGTTGCTTATGTTGAAGGCTTGCAACACAACCTTATTAGTGTCTCATAATTGGTTGTCGGAACAGGATTGAAGGTGTCATTTGATGACGAAGGATCAGAATTCATTGAAAAGAAAACCAAGACTGTTTTTGTGAAATCACAAAGAAATGGTGAAATGTATCCATTGAATCTAAACCCAATACGAGGGAAGCCAGCCATTTGCCTAATTACGAAAGCTCATTCAGACGAAAGCTAGTAATGGAATAGGCGACTTTTGCACTTGAACTTCAAAGACATCAACAAGCTCGTTCTTGGTGATCATGTGCGAGGACTTCCTCTATTGAAATTCGACAAGGATCATTTGTGTGCGGCCTGTGAGATGGGAAAGCAAAATAGAAAAAGTTATCTAACTATCATGAACACGAAAGTCATCGAACCTTTGGAATTTCTACACATCGACCTTTATGGACCTTCTGCTATTGGAAGCGTTGATGGTAGTAAGTATATTCTAGTAATTGTAGATGATTTTTCACGTTTCACTTAGGTATTCTTTGTTAGACAGAAATCTGAAGCAACACCAAAGCTCAAGGATTTCATCAAGCAAATCGAGCTTCAACTGCGAAAGTTGGTTCGCAGCGACAACGAGCTAGAATTCAAAAACCAAGCGTTTGAAGAATTTCTTGCTAAAAAGGGAGTCACACACAACTTCGCTGCTCCCTACACTCCACAACAGAATGGTGTAGTTGAAACACAAAACCATTCCTTGTGTGAAGCTGCACGAACCATGCTAACATTTGCATGTCTGCCACTCTACTTCTGGGCAGATGCGATCGCTACCGCTTGCTTTACCCAAAATAAATCCATCTTGAATAAGCGATTTTCTATTACTCCATATGAAATTTTAAATAATCGCAAACCTAATGTCAAGTTTTTCCACTTTTTTGTTCCAGGTGTTTCATCTTCAACTCTAAGGAACAACGGAACAAGTTCGATGCGAAAGCTGATGAGGGAATATTCTTGGGGTGCTCACTGACCTCTAAGGCATATAGGGTTCTCAACAAACGATCAAAGAAAATCTAAGAAACCTATTATGTCATGTTTGATGACAACTATCTAAAGAGAATTCTGTAACGCCCTGTTCTAAAATATTCATTTATGGATTTCAGAGGCCAAGGAAAAGGGGGTTCTGGTCTTTTATGATTTTTGAGTTGCAATTCGAGAAGGTTTTGGGTCGGAGTGTTTAATAGAAGCGTATGGCTTTTCGCCACCTTTTTGTGGATAGAAAGTTCGTCGAAAACGGACTTAGAATGAAGGAGTTATGACACTTTGAAGATATTGGCAATAATAGCCCTTATGGAGAAAAGTTCGCATGAAAGGCCACGCATGCATTTTCGAACACACGTGGGTACGCCCAACGTAAACTGGGTTACGCACAACGTAGTGGACCAAGTGATCGCAAGTTTTTAAGGCGTAAGCCCAGCGTATGCTAAAAGCCTTTAAACCCTATTTTTTGGGAATGCCACTATATAAAGAACATAATGGCTTCAACCCTAGCCCCCATATCAGCCACTATATAAAGAACATTTTGTGAGATCTTGACCTTGGGAAGCTTAGTTTGGTGGTTTTAAGCTTGGAAGAGAAAAGAAGAAGAGTGGCAAGGAGGAACCTTTGAGGCCAGAGCTTATAGATCTGAGATAGCATCATCTTCTGGAACACTTTGAAGGTATAAAGCTCACAACTTTACTTATGGGTGCTTAGATCTACTATGGTTTAGTTATGGGTAGATTTTAGTCCAAAGGTGAAAGCCTTATAGCTTTAATCCAATTTCCAGACCATGGGTTGCCTCCCTTGGTGCTAAATGACTCCCTAGAACAGAAAGTTGATATCTTGAAGGTCCAAATGAGTTCATGCAAAAATTAAGACCTTTTTCGATGGAAATAGATTATGGTTTTTGGAGTTGGAGCTTATGTGAGTCATAGAAGCCATAAAGTAAGCAACTTTATGGTTTAAGACATGAAATAAGACTTGGATCTGAGTTTGTAGCTTCTGAATCGGGGTATTGAGCACTTAATAGAATGTTGGATTATCAGGGCTGTACGTTGGGCGTACAAGGAGGTACGCACGACGTACAAGCCATCAGCCGGTATGCTCAGCGTACCTAGAGGTACGCCCCGCGTACGCTGCCAGTTGGGTTTCGAGAATTTGGGCCTTGGTGTGGGCTGTGCTTTGGACTTTGGGTCTTTGGTCCTTAGTGGGCCATCAGGAGTCAGTGAATATGGGCCAAGTTTAGGTGTTAGACTTAGAGTAAGGCCCAATAAAGAGATTTGGGCCCAATGTAGAAAATTGGTCATTAGCGGGCCTTTAGTGAGCCACTGATGGGCTTAGAAGGAATTAAGGGTTTGAGACATGTTTTTGACCCACACCATAGTAGGGGTAAAATAGTCATTTTACTCATAGAAGAATCCCTATTCTAATTAAGTATTTTATTTAACCATGATAGTGGGGGAGAAGCCAGAGCAGCAGTCAAGGATTCTTTGTTCAGGTGTTCAGTAATCAGCATTACGAGGTGAGTTTCCTTCCAGTAGCGGTGGGTCTACGACCACAATGACGACACATCAGTAGGAGTTGTATAATTAGATGATTGTCACTTTGATATTCATCTAGGTTTGCTACTACCTGATATGTTTATGTGCTAGTATGGTATGATGTTATGTGCTAGTGACAACAGGGTAGATAGTCCCCAGATTACCAGTCGATTGGGCCGAATGGGTAGTCGTACCTAACCATGCTAGATAGATTATGTGATATGTGTTATGTGGTAGTAGTAGTGGGGTGAAATAGTCCCCAGTATCCGGTAGAGAGGACCGAAGGGGAGACCAGCACCCAACTATGCTAGTCAGTATCCGGTCGAGAGGATCGAAGGGGAGGCCAGCACCTAGGTATGCTAGTCAGTATCCGATCGAGAGGACCGAAGGGGAGGCCAACATCTAGATATGTGTTACAAGTTGGTATCAGAGCCTTGGTTTGAGGGATTCGGACACACCCTCAGGGGTGTCTGGACTCAAACCGAGGGAGTAAAAGATTTTTACAAAGAAAATGATTTTTCTAAAAGCTATGTTAAAGAGTTTTAAGAAAGATCAAGGTGTGTGATGTGCGCGACCGGCCGAGCTCAAGTAAGTACCCCAAAATACCCACACAAGTATATGTTATGATTATCAGTTAGTAGAACAACATACTAGATTAGGACTAAGGATCTAGGAAGGATGCCTTATGTGCATGTTATATGTGCTTTAGAGCTGCATGATAGCATTGGTTAGACAGTAGTAGGATAGCCTGTTTAGGTTATGCCTGAGATTATGAGCTTATGTCGCATGCTAGTGCAGATTCTTGTTAAGTGAATACGATTGCTTGATTATGTTATGGTTAGAATTTCCTTTCTCTGA